AGAAGTAATACAATTCCAGTCCACAAAATGATGATGATGATGATGATGATGATGATGATGATGATGAAGAATTGCAACTGGGGAAATCTACTCCTTCTTTGCCTCTGCCTTACTCTCTGACATTCAGTCTCAAAGGAAGTGACAGTATCATCATTTCACTTCTCCTGTTGGCATCCACCCAAATAAGACTTATGTCACCTGGCTAACCAATGATGAAAAGTTAGGCAGTTGCAGACTCATGCAGATTTTCAAGCAAAGATTTGGTATCCCTTGGTTCAGTCAACAATTTAAAGAAAGACTGTAGCCAAGAAACTTGAAGAAGACTGAGTCTTGGAAGGGCAGCAATGAATGAACTAGAAAATCAATCAAATGTAAGGATGTTTCATTGGAAACCAAGGCCAAGATCATCCACACTATTATATTCCCAATCAGTATGGATTTGTGTGAAAGGTGCACAATGAAGAAAGCTGCCATGTAGAAAATTGATGCATTTTAATTATAGTGCTGGAGGAGAGCTTTGTGAATACCCTGGACCAACTGAAAGATGAACAAGTTGACCCTAGATCAAATAAAACTTTCCTTAGGAGAAAAAATTACAAAACTAAGGCTATTGTACTTTGGACACATCATGAGAAGGCAAGACTTACTGGAGAAGACAATTATGCTAGGAAAAGTCAAAAGCAGCAGAAGAAAAGAAAGACCAACAAACAGATGGGTTGACTCCATACAGGAATTCAGTCTTGAAATTAGAACAGCTAAGGAGGGATGTCATGGACTGGACATTTGGGAGGGCTCTCATTCATAGGGTCCCCATAAGTCAGAGATGACTTGATGACGCATAACAACTGGGCAGATATTCCAGCTTTCCAGGATAGAATCAAAGATAATATGAACACAAATCACAGAAAGGAATAACTCACAGGTGCAAATTACACTTGCTGAGGCATTTGGGTGCTACTCATCCTCACACACACACAGAACTAATTTGTGTACGCATGAATGTAATAATCAGTTGTGGAGGACCAGTGTGCTGCATTCCTATTTAAACAGGAAATTGCTATTTCTGAGTTGAGGACATGTGATCAAACACATTTTAACACTTAATTTAAGTTTGGAAAAATTAGCTCACACAATAATTAGATTCACAACAGACATGTGTACAAACATGATCATGGCTTGGATAGCATACCCCCAGCACATGGAATGGTGCTCATCTTTTCTGTTTACTGGTTAGGATAGCCTCTGCCTTATGAGGACTGGGGAAATTAACATTGCCAAAATGCTGAAGTGGCTGAAAGGAAGGCAGTGTCCTACTTCATCCTCTCTTCCCCAACCATAATCCATAATCCAAATTAGAATATTTCAAGCTGTGGCTGCCCAGCAGTGCAGTGCACTTTCTTGCTTCTCTTCCCCCTTTCTGCTGCATCCTCCATTGATGGGTGGAGGAATAGTAGAGATGGAAGATGGCTGCACCTGCCCAGAATGTTCCTGGACGAGCAGAACTGACTTGCAGGCAGCAGAGCAGCCAAGGACAATGGTCTCTGGCAAACAGCACTCTCCCTGCCTCCCTCACCTGGACACAGCTGGTCATCTGTGCAGCACTTCTTCTTTGAGAAAAGGTGTCCCCTCAGGTGCTTGCAACCAATACAGAAGTCCCTCCCAGCAGCACTGCTCCAGTCTGTGCCAGCCCAGGTTGTGGCGGCAGCAGCAGAGGCAGCATAGAAAGACAACGCTGTGGGGGAAAGGGGAGCAATGAAGAAAGTCAGGCTTATTCTAGCGGATGCAACTTGCCTCTGTGAGCACAAAAAAGGAAAAAAAGAATAAACAAGGACTCTCCAAAATTCAAAGTACTTACATGGTTTCAAACCATACCTAAAAAAAATCTAGTTACTTTGAAGCTAGATTCAGAGGGAAGACATGCTTGGTTTCCTCTACAGAGTTAGAAGCTGCAGGGAAGCTCTTTGCCTTTTGATTGCATCAATACCCAGCTAGGTTCAAGATATCATAGCACAATACCCTAGACAAAAGCAGTCATCAAGGGTACATGGAATAACTGCTCTCCCATTTCATTATGTTTATAACCTGCCTTTTCCACCAAGGAGCTCTGGGTAGCACACAGAACCCTTTTGGCAGTCTAACACTGATACTACTCACAAAAAGTGAGAGTTGCTCTTCCTCCATTTTGTTCTAGATTATTATTGGATGCAATATAGTCTCAGGTTCCCATTCTCATGTAGGTTTCAGTTGCTTGGTACTAGTCTAAAAAATAAAGAATAGGTGCACCCATGGGTGACTTTCTAATTGCAAATGTCTTTTTCTCTCTCCCCACTGGCCTGCAGATGTCTGGAGATTCAGATCACTGCCTTTCTCACAGGCTATTTTTATTACATCTTAGATCACAGTGGAGTGTTTCTTAAAAAAAAAAAAAAACCCTCTCCCTCTCTCTCTCTCTCTCTCTCTCTCTCTCTCTCTCTCTCTCTCTCTCTCTCTCTCTCTCTCTCACTCTCTCTCTCGCTGTGCCCGCGCGCACTTGTGTGTGTGTGTACGCATGCGTGTGTGCAAGCAATAGCTTGACCTTCAGTTGGTCCTATAAGCTTTAGAGACAGAATTTGATGGCTTTGGAGGCTGGAGAAAAGCCACAAGAGTGCCAGTGGTGAAGCTTCCCCTGCCAATTCTTGTAAGATGGCAAGCTGAGATGGCGGAAGGGAGAGAGAACCCGTATACCACCCTTCCATGTTACTAATTTCCCTGACCCACCCAGACCACCTGTGAAGCATTAACAAAATATTTGTAAGTACAGTGGTAACCCTTGTGTGTGTGATTTATTTGCTCATCAAATTACACCCTAAATTCTTGAGTAGTTATGAGATAAGAAGGAACAGACTGTGTTTTCTAAAATAGGGATAATCTTGCAGAAAGATGGATACTACAAGTACCTCAGCTATATTTTATTTATTTAGTAGTAGGATAATAGTAGTGAACTGTAGTTGTTTTGATTGTAAATTGGTCAAAGTCCTCATTCATTGTAATGTGAAAATATTTACTATGGCAGCTGCTGTGAATTCATTGGTATGTTGGGCCTAAATTAAAGTGACAGCAACAGAATACAATTCCTATTAAGAGGACTTGCAACATAAGTAGGTGTGAAGAAACTGTGACAGGAGAGAGAACACACAAGGCTCAATCATGGAGCTGTAGGAACAGGAAAGGAATAACTTGTAGCAAAAACCATAGCAAACATGACTCAGGAAGAAGTAGCTAGAAGGGCTTTGAGGACAGAACTGAGGGAGAGGAAGGGGTTGCAGGCAAGGGAATAGCATGACAAAACTAATGAAGGAGGAAGAAAAGTAAAGGAATCAGTGGCAGACTACACAGGTGTTTGGAGCAAGAACGAAGCTCTTTGCGACAACATGCAGACAAATGATATTTTGTGGTCCTGCCAATTTGATTTTAGCACTATACAATTAACATAGAGAAAATAAGGCAATCCTTACCCCCACCTCCCAATGCTCATATTGGGACGGATTTGCATAATTTCCCTTGGTAGTATGGTTTTGCATGCTGTGTGAACCCAACACAGGTGACTTGTTGCTATGGCTAATAAGTTACACAGGACCCTAAAGGAAGGCAAAGTTCGGGGAGGGAAAGGGTTCTGTATGGTGTCCATGCAAACACAGGGAAGAAACAAGTCAAGATGGCTTAATTCCCCTGCTGTGTATGCATAATTACTCTCATCAGCTCAGACTGCACGTCTGGTGATTCCCCAAAGGTGGCTTGTTCCCATGTGTAACAAGCTGTCTATAACCTTGCAACTGGGCCAGTGGCTACACATAACTAAAATTTATTTTATTTTAGCTGCTTTTAGACCACTTGACATCCCAGGATTTCCGAGCATCTTACGTAAGAACACTTACCAAATAAAAGCAAAAACAGAGAGGTACTGCTTTTAAGCTACATAGTGTTCAACAAAAACCGTAAAATGAAGCAGTGTTGTGATCAGTGACAAGCCAAGAAAAGCCTGAGTAAACAGTGCATTCTCCAAAGGCACATGAAAATTGCCCTGGTTTCTGCCTCCTGAGTCAGACAGGAGAGTGGGTGCTGCTACCTCTGGATGAGGCCGTGCCAATTCTCCATGGTGTGATCTCCCAGCAGTTGGGGCTCTGTATTACCAATAACTATTCTAGCAGCTGTACTGAACTGTATACAACCGAGTACACTCCTTGAGTCAATTTATATGACATCATGTTCAGCTGGTCTGAGCATAATTTTGCGTTTGTATTACCAGTTCCTATATGGTATAATTCATTTAACAGCTGGATGGTGCTCTTCATCATCAAGAGGACTTTTAGGCTTTTAGGCTTACCTTGACTGTTCTAAAGGTACAGAATTCTTTGCACACACTTTGATACTCAAAAAATATAGGATGTGTTTATACACAGTGCAATAGCAAGTTCATTTTATGATAAATGAAAATTTACGGATTTTGATTCTAATCCACTTTGGCAGCTTGCAGCTAAGTTGTTCCCTGTGTTCAGTGGTATTAAGTTAAGGTTATTTTTAGCTGGATCAGAGATGTTATATTTCATTGCACTTCGTACCCATGTTGTATCAGTGAATAAACCCCAAAACGAAGGGCTTAAAAAAAGAGGGAATGGGCACAATATCAGGATTTTCTTGGCTTCTTCCTCACGTTGCCCTGTTGTCTAGAATGGCCTTACTCAGACCACTATTTCATCTCTTCTGCATCTTAGTTTTGCACACCCCAGTTCCTGCGTGCAGGGCCATTGCAATAGATCATCAAGGTGATGTGGCTACAGCACGAACTCAGTCAACCAAGCACCTTTCCATTCTATTTTAAATCTACATTAGTCTTCTTCCAGTATATGTTCTTCTTCTTCTTCTTTTTTTGTTCCTGCTTCTGACATCATTTCCTGAGTAGTACATTGGTTTAACAGCAAAGCCACATCATCTTCTCAGCACACAATGTAAGAAGATGTTTAAAATGGATTTGAGTTTTTCTTTTCCATTGCCATGCATGCTGATGATTCTGACTATAATTAATGGTAAGTGGGAATTTTCTTTATACAATTGGCACTGCTTTGCCTAGGTGAGCAGAAATGGTCCTTTCATTCAATTCATTCCCCTCTCCTTTTTAAAGGAGTCTACAAAACTCAGTGAAATACTGGTGCCATAATCGCTAAAGCATGAAAAGGGACAGTCAGTCCAAAGTAAGACAGATTCTCTCATAAACTAATTGCAACCATATTCCCAGATTTACTGCATCCAAAACAGAAGAGAAATAAGTCAGCTTGAGAGGCTTTGCATGCAGTATAGCGGTCAGATAGGAGGTTGGATGACATGATTCTGGGGTTCTCTTCTTGTTTCTCGATGTGACCTTGACAAATTAGAATTAGACAACTTAGAATTGCCAGACAAGAAACACCCCCAAATCATTTAGGTGCGTATGCCCAATATATATATGTTTTCAGTGGTTCTTGAGCTCCTATCCTATTTTAAGCTGTTGTGAAAAGTTGGTTCTTTTGCACTTCCATTCATGATTTCAGAGACAGTGACCGTGATTTATGGCGAAGGCATCTTACTAGCCTAAAGTAATCCAGGTTTGCAAACACTATACAGATGCCTGAATTTCTTTCATTTTGTGCTAAGTAGGCAAAATTATTTCTGTTACTTTTTGCATTATATGCAGTGTTAACAAGACAATTCTGTGAACCATATAAAGTCATTGAACAATTCATGCTTCTTGAGGCTGTTTCTGTCAATATACCCCAGTGGTACTTCAGTATCCAAGTGACATCTCAGGACAATTAAAATGAACATCCTGACTTCATAAAGGAACTGACACAACCTTTGAAAATATCCAGTGTATTACTTAAATTAAGAAATGCATTTTGTTCATTTGACTTGTTTGCAATAGTGGATTAAGGAATAGCCTTGTAGGGCACAAGTCTCTTTTAAATCTGAGATGTATACATTGTTAACTGCCCTACTTCATAAATTAAGACTTTCAGTCTTGCTTCTGAGTGTGCAAATATAAGATGGCTATGTAGGTCTCGCTCAGTTCAGGAGAACTTGCTCCCAGGAAAGCTGGCAGAAATTGCAACCTTATGATGCAATCTTATGTGTGTCTACTATCCAGAAGTAAGCTCTGCAGAGTTTAATGGGACATATGGGACATATGCCAAGGCAGGCATGTTTACCATTGCAGCCACAGTAACTAACCAAATGGACATTAAGGAGTATGTGTACGTGTTTTCCCAGGCAATTGTATTCCAGAATCTCTGGATTTTTACACAAATGAAAAATAATTGTGAGCTTAATAGGAGAAAGGGGAAGAAGATATTATTCGGATCTGTCTTGTGAAGAAGCAAAGGTCTTTCATCTTTTTTTAGGGATTGCAATGTTACCTCTTCTGTCAAGTATATTGCCTTCCATTCCTGCATATCTAACAGTATCTTGAAATATCTGTTGCTATGCCGAGAAGTTTCCCTTTTTTCCAGTGTGAAGACAAATGTGTATAATGTCCATGGTACATGAATATTCCATACCGTAATGATGACTCCTTTATTATTCTTCCAGGCCAGGATTGTGCTGATATAATCCGAATTTCTGGGAACGTTGGTGGGAATATTTCCATCCCTTTGGAAATTCACAAAGAAAGCTATATCACAGTCTTTAAAGAGGCAGACTGTACTTTCTCAAGAAATGTGAGCATGGATGATTGTGAAGATCCTATGTGTCTGAGGAATGGAAACTTGGAGATGATTAATTTATCAGAAGATGATGAAGGAACATATAAGATTACAGCTGGAAATGACAGCAAAATTTTCTTACTTAAAGTATGTGGTAAGTGTATCTTAAATCTGGAATCAACAATGACAAGATCAGAGAGTTTTAAAACATTGCTGCTGCTTCATACACACTGATTCTGAGCATGCCTACTCAGAAGGAGATACCATGATGTTCAATGAGAGTTGTTCCCAAGTAAGCATCCCGCCATAGGCTGCAATCTACAGACTGGCAGACTTTAATTAAAGCATAATCCCAAAATTTTCAGCAGAGCCTGAAGACTAAGGCAAGTGGATGCTGTAGCTTCTTGCACTCTGGTTATTTGGAAGCACCACCACTGTGTGTGGCAAATGAGTCTTCCAAACAGTTAAATATGACTGTGGCAGGCTGTGATTTGACACAGTGGCGTGGGTTTCTTTATTGTGGATAGCATAGTGGTTTCCTAGATTATGACTTGATTCATTTCATCATGTGCCCAGTACAATCTGGGCTGGAATAAAGTGCCTGGCCCATGTGAATTTGCTCTCACTCTGCTTCAATCCAAGGTTTGCAATGCCGTATTGACAGAGGTGGATTTTTTTAATCTTAAAGCTAATAACTAGCATTAGGAGAGAGATGTCAACATTTAGAATTTGAGAGGAGGGGGAGAGACTTTGCAAACAGCAGGAAATCACAGGGATTATGACAGGAGGGGGCAAAAGTAAGTAGAAACCACCTGGTGATGAGAAGAAGGTGGAATGGCCCTCTGGGGAGCTTGTGGGGATGCTTTTCTTTCCTGGTCCCTGCCCAGAAGTTCCTCACCCTGATCCAAAATGATATCTGAAGAAGATGCTTCTATATTTAGTTCAAGCTTGGAGTCACTGGCAAGAGTGTATGTAGGGAATAAACACTCAGACCTGAGGAGTCTGACTTCATCCCCTTAGAAAATGCAGAAATGTACCACTCTAACCAAAAGTATAAGATGACGGGTAGCAGGTTAATCCAGAGACAGCTCATTTATTATTGTCTCCATAGTTATCAAAACGGTGTCTCTGTGCACTCTCACTTCATCAAAACAGAAGAAAGGGGCTCCGCAGCAAATATAAAAGATGGGAAATTATCATTCAAGTGCTAATGTACATTATTCCTAAGTGCCACCAGGAGGCAAGAAGCAGAACTGCACCAACTCGGACGGATTCAGTGGTGCCCTGGCTATTCATTCCTTCAAGATTTAAATTATAAAAAGACAGCTTACAAAAATTAAAAACATCCCCCTTTAACTCTGATATTTAAACTGTGATCATATGCTGTACAGGAACCTTACCCTAACCTTGGTCATGAATATGCTTGTGACAAACCAGGAAGTATTCATCATGTATTCTTTTTGTGTTGTGGAGGCTGGGGCAAAATACCCTTTCTCCCCATTCCTTCTAACCAGAGTCTGCCCTCCCTATCCATTCTAAGCTTATGTGACATGGGGCCATCTAGCCCTATGTTGTGTACTGTATAAACTGAGTTACGTTTTCTTCTCTTGTGGAGGGTTTAAGTACTATCCCTGATAAAAATGATAACTTGCACCATATCCAATCCTCTGTCATGGTGACACCATCAGGTGACAATTTTAAAATTTATTATCTGTTCCCCTTTGAAATCAGTGGATTAGGCCTGGTGTCGAGTTGTGCGATGAGTATATTGAAGGGGTTCAATATATGTCGAAGGGGTTCAATATACAATCACAGCATATGTGTGATTCTCCCCTGTGTCACCCACAACTCCGCCCTGCTTCGATCATTCCACCAGTGTGTCTTGGCCATTCTGCTAGTGTAGTAAGGCTTCCATGGAATCATATGCAGTGTATCTTCAATATATGGAAGGAATAAGCAGTCCAGAGACTTCCAGATGCCTTGTACTGTAAACCTCGTAATATCTGGACATTGTCCATGTAGGCTGTGACAGGGAAACTGGAGTCCAAGACACCTACACACCATGTGGTGGCACCACTGGTATAGAAGTTCATTCTTTATTGCACACCCCTGTATATCTCTGGAAACAAAGTTGTATAAAGCCATATGAATCTATATGAATTGTTCTCCAAGACTCGAAGCATCCAACTTTAAGAAAAGGTGGTACAACTGTTGTATGGAAACAAGTCTTCTTTTGCAATCACCTTGAAACATTTCAGCAGGAAAAATGTATGAGAATCCATTAAGTGTTATATGTTGTCAAGGTCTTTGCACCAGAAGTTGGTGATAGGAGAGGCCTTTTCCAAAGGAAGTTTGCAGGTGGCTGTAAAAGGGAGCCCTTTCTGAGCTCTGACATTTCATTTATGTAATGCCAGCTGCAAGGAGATTCCTTGGTGACTATATCATCATCTTTCTAGAACCAGGCAAAGTCTTTTCTTTTCTCCCAGGAATTTTATGGTCTATTTAATTTTTTAAAGATTTTATGACTGTTTTTATATATTTATTCCTGTCTGATTGTTGTTTACTATTGTATTTTATTCTTTTAGCTTTTAGAATGTGCCCAGAGAACATTTGCTATTAATAAAATTAGAATGCATAAATGAAAAAATATAAAGAAATAATATGAAGGTAATTTGGTGACAGTCCTATATAACAGAGTAAGGATGAATGCCACACATAAGGAAGTAATTAATCATTATTGAGTTCAGGTATCCCATATATTCTATACTCAACAGCTATACATTAACTTTTCCCCCCAATTTGTTTGTTGCCATTTCACTGTCTAGAGCTGCCTCCGGTTGTTCATATTCATTGCTTAGCTGATGGAAGAGCCAACCTATCCTGTGACATAGATAATAAGTCTAATCGCAGTGTTTACTGGACTCTGAATGAAAGGCGTCTGAATGATTCTAATGCTTGTCAGAAGGATGCTGGCAAGAGGATTATTTTAGAAAAAGGAGTACATGGAAAGTTGGTTTGCCACAGAAGCAACACCTGCAACAGTTCCTCCATTGAGGTCTTGTGTAATCATGGTAATTTCTATTTTCTTTTCTTTTTATGGAAGTTGAAACTGTTGTTTTCCTGCACATATGTGTCTCTATCTCTGTCCTTCACTTGTACAAACCAATGCAAAATAACTTTCCTCAGTCTGTGAAATCATCTCCCTTTCCTTACCTACCTGCAAGCTTGCTGATACTTCATATTATGTCATTCATTGCTGCAAGGTTGTAGTTCTTACTTTAGAACAGATATCCCCAAGGAAGTACCCACAGTACCTTGTGGAAGTACTTTGAACGGTCCGTATGATGGGATTCCCAACAAGTTGCCTATAGGCATTCAAAAATTTATTTTTAAAAAATAATTTAATATATGTACATGGATTTGTTTATATCCATGAAAATGAATACATATTAAATGTATGACGCTTTCTAGTATTATACACAGGCTTCACCAAAGGAGACCAAATATCCAAATAAATAGCTATGTGAAGCTGGTGTTTTTATGCCACCCATTCAAATAGTGTCCCCCAACTGTCCAGAGCTGATTTGAAGGACACACAGGTCCAAGAGCTGCTGAGCAGAGGAGACAATGGGGAAGTCCTGTTCTGACAGCAGTATCCATTCTTGGATACTGATCTTGGATCCAACTGTAGACAATCTTTATCAAATAATCACACACGTTAGCTGCTTGCAACTGGCTAATCATCATTTGAACAATGTATTTTGCATGTTCATATTTATGTACTGGATTATACTGGTTGAATAACAAGCAAAATAACAAAGGTTTTTGAATGAATTGTAGACAATGTTTTGAATGAATTGTAGATGTTTTGAATGAATTGTAGACAATGGGTTCCACACAGACTGCAGATTACAAGCCTTGATATTTATGGTTCAATAATGGTGCTGTGCAAAATCTCCAAAATATAACTACTCCTGCTCTTTCAGGTCTTTGCAAACCTAGAGAAAAGTAGCAGCAATTACAAGGCTCAACTGACAGTGGTCTCAACATGAAATAAATGCATAAACATGCACTGCATGTCTTTTTCTTCATCTGTACTAACAAATATAGTTGAAAGAAACCTCCTTAAATACTCCCCAGACTTACCTTGTATATTTGAACATCAGAATTTTGCAAATACTAGGTGCTGAATGAATGCAGTTTCATAGCTACTGGTGAATCATAAGTTATTATTTTTTCATCCATCTCTTCATCTGTTATATTAAATGAATAATGAAAGTGATCATTCAGAATTTGTATTTTTGGTTCAGTTTTAAATCTTAAAAAAAAAAAAAAACCAGAGACAGAACCACTCCAGGCTTGCAGGTACTAAAATATAAAACACAATGATATGCAACAAATTGTAGATTATGAGACAAATACTCTGATGTCTATGTATGTCTAGACTTCACTGAAATTTTCCTAAGCCTGATCAAGTGAAGTGAGAGGTGGAGTGCTTTTGGAAATCAGACTGTTTCATTAAGATACAAAGTAGGAAAGACTGAAGACCAACAGCTCATTAGCTTACCGTTCCTGCCTAAACAATGAACTGAGCTATATAGACAGATACCAAATGTTATAGAGATTGAAATTAGCTGGGAGTGTGTAAGTGTTGCTTCCCCCCCCACAAACATAAGTTGATTTAGTTAGTAAAAGATAGCATACTTGACTTCAGTCCTTCCAGAAGCTGAACAAACAACGCCAACAAACTTCCCTAAAGCTTAAGCTGCTTTATTCCACTAGGGAAAAAAGTCCCATTTCCACATCACGGCAAAAAGCTTTATTAGGACTATTCATCAAAATCTGTGTGAATGACAAATTCCCTTCAAACAAGCTTTGAGTAGCTACTTGTAAACATTCTTCTGGTTGGCTATCTCCAACATACACTTCTCTTCATGCTAATTCCATTTTCTTCTATTGGCATTAACTTGTGTATTCTAATGAGAGCACATTCCCTCAGGGGAAATCCTTTGGGACCTGCAGGCAACATGGTCAAAGTGATCCTCTCCTCTCCTCTCCTCTCCTCTCCTCATCTCCCTTTCCCTCTGTCACCTTCTGTCCTTTTTCTTCCTACTCCCTGTTCCCTCCAGAGACATGCCACATTGGTTTTACTAGAGGTTTGAACTGATGACTTGCAGAGGCCTTTTGAAATACCCCTGCTTTATGGCCAAACTTTTGGGTCATGACACCTTCCCGTCAGAACTACCCTGAAACTTGAAGAGACCTCAGAAGAGGAGAGGAATCCTGTCTCTTGTAGAAAAGGTTGTGAGATCCAGGAGAAATTTAAGGGTTCAAGAATGCCAGCAACCTTTCCATGAATCCCCATTAGGAGCCATATACCATTTGAGGAGGATGTAGCATAGAAGGAACCTAAGTTCTACGTGGGGCTGCCCTTGAAGACAGTCCAGATAAGTCAGATGGTTCAAAATAGAGTGGCCAGGATGCTGTTGGGGACTGGTTGTTATTCTCACATAACTCCAGTCCTCTATCAGCTCCATTGGCTTCCCATTGAAGTCCGCGCTGAATTCAAGGTGCTGGTTATTACCTATAAGGCCCTAAATGGCTTGGGACCAGGATACCTAAAGGAACACCTTTTTCCCTATTTGCCCTCCCGCCCCCTAAGATTAGCAGCAGAGGCCCTCCTCTGGGAACCCTCTTTGAAAGAGGTCAGGAGGCAGAGTACTCGGACGAGAGTCTTCTCTGCAGTGGTGCCCCAACTATGGAATGTGCTCCCTAGAGAGGTCCGCCTGGTGCCATCATTATATGCTTTTGGTAGCCAGGTCAAGACCTTTTTATTTGACCAATATTTTAACATATAGTAATTTTAATTGTATTCGATTTATTTAAGGTATTTTAAATGGATTAGTTTTATGCTTAGTGTGGAACAGTTAACTTATTTTATTTAGGACTGAAATATTGTTGTAAGCCATTCAGAGATGACAGTAATGGACAGCCTACATATTTTTTAAATAAATAAAAATAAATAAGTACCTGGCCTGGTCCCGTGTCAGGTCCATCAGGTTCACCTGCAGAACCCGAAATACAAAAGCAGCAGCGTGTCCGCACTAGCAGCTCAGAGCCAGAGATGCAGTGCCTGTCTGGCAGCACATCAGAGATCTTTGGGCCCTATTCATGAAGAGGAAGCTTGCTCTGGATCTTACTGATTAGTCAGGAAGGTGCAGGGCATCAATGCTCCTTGTAAAGCTGCTTAGTTGAAGCAACTTCTTTCTCAGGGTGCTTTCTGCTGGACAGCTCCCCCACTAGTCTGGTCTTCCTGGTCCTTGAACCACAGAATTGTTCCTGAGAAGGCTGGGTGCTGACTTTCATAGCATGGATAGCAGGAATGGAGCACACACTAGATGTGGGAAGACTGTCTCTCTGAGGCATTGGCCCCAGTGAGAAAGGCTAATAGAATGGGTTATCCTCCCAAAGGGAATAGCAGCTTCAGGAAAGGGATTTCCTTCAGGACTGATACAGAAAAGAGAAGAACTACATTCCATATGCATGCATGTCAGAACTAAGATAACTCAGTCCCTGTGGCTGATCATTTAAAAAGTACAACTGCCCATGAAATGCAAAACAAACAAACAAAAAAAACAAAAAACCCAAAAACCAACAACCTCACTTTTAGGGGAACAAACATTGGCTTCCTCTGGTTAGCTACTGCCTAAGATCAAGCCGTCTCTTTCTCTCTGCCAGGGGACCTGCTACAGCACCCACTCTTCCTGTATATTGTAGCAGCATGTGGAGCCGGGGCACTCCTTCTGGCCATCATTGCCTCACTGATCACATGCAGCTGCATGAAAAGCAAGCATCATTTCACTCCTGTGCCTGCAGGTGAGTAGCAGTTCTTTTTGCTCTGCATGGTGCCTCACAATGCAATCCTAGGCTTGTTTTCTCCAAGCAGAGATGTGAAATGCATCAGGAAACTTAAGTGGACAACGCTCACAGGTTTTTGCACCAGCACTCTTCTCCTGACAGTCAATTTTAGCAACACTGGGGAAAAGCTCTTCTATGCAGATTTATATAAGAGACTGTCTAAAGTGATGATTATAGGAATATCTAAGTTCTTCCAAAGTTCACCCTCTCTGGAAAAAGTGGAAATTCAACAGCCAGGCTACCCAATAATCAACCAAAATAAAGTGTTTATCCTTTCTTGCTATGTTTTCCTTGGCCTCATTGCACCTTGCCTTTGGAGCTTTCTCTTTCTAAATTTCTGCAAAAAATTTTTTTCCCAGCGCACAGGTTAACATCACTTTCCTAATTTCAGACTCCCCAGGTCCTGTCCCCAGATTGGCCCTTATGTAGCTCCCTGACCACACATGCTACATAATCTTTCATCTAGTCTATTTGATCTTTCTTCAAATGCCTTTGCCTACCTTTTTGTACTCTTCCTGACACAGACTAATTTTGCAACTAGAAATGGTGTCATAATAAGCTATTTGAGAACAGAAGAATTCCAGAGGCTTCATCACGATATGGCAGTTTGCCTCCAGCCAAACAAAGTATAATGATATCAACATGCTACTTTTTGCAAAGTCCTCTTGTGCATGATGAACTGTCTGAAAAGTACTCAGTTTTGCTATGCTTGTCACCAGAGCAAGAGGCATCCAGATTCTAAAACACAGCTTGCTCTTGCAGTTCAGCAGAGTCCAGATAGCAAATCTAGGTCTGCTGATATCATGCCTGCCAATCTGTAAGTGGAATAGGGTGGCTATTTCTGCATCACCAAAAAGGACACCAATTTGCATAAAACTTGCATATGCTGCTATACATAGAAGTACATTTTGAAATAATTACTGTAATTTAAAGAGATATACCATACATCTCAACCTAGTGAGAACGAATGTTACCAGGTGACCTGTGTGTCTGCCCCATTGGCTGTCAGGTCCTACTGATGTCAAGGGCTCTGCTACTCTCCCTTCTCTTGGTTCTTTCTGTTTAAAGGGCTCTGGCTTGGAAGTGCTCTGGCAGTCTTTCAAACAGAAGACTGTGCTCTGTAAAATAGGACACATTACCCAAATCTGGAACTGATAGACATTGCCATTAAATTACTTCTATTCACTTTCACATTGTGCGTTCTTGTATTTCTCTTCTCTACTTTTTAGTCTCTCTCCCCTGCTCTAATACTACAGTATATGGTTTTTAGAGAAGAAACATGTATTCTCCAAAGGCATCTGGATGTTTTATGGGAGATGAGGTACAAATCTGATAGGGAACATTGTACTAGTGGAAACTGACAAGGCCAACAGTTTGGTCCACATTAGGAACAGAAGGACACGCATGATTTGTCCCCTTCAAGCTCTCATTATGCTTTCCTCTAGAAGAAGAGAAGGATGAAGGACTAACTCTGTCTGCCATTTCCAGTGAAGGACCAAAGAGTCCTCCTAATGGAGACCACTGCGAAGCTACCGAAGTTCTTATTGACAGTAGCCCCAATACTGGTAGGTACAATGGTGCAATTGTTGTTGTAATTAAACAGTCAAGATGTGTAGAATAACTAATTGTACATAGTTCTTCACAGAACAGTCTTTTGTATGCTCTGCTCTGACATAGAGAAGAGGGATGACAGCCATGGAAATGTTCCTCTATTTTCTATGCCATTTAAATCAGGACAATTTATATGTAACACAAGTCGAGAAAGGTTTTGAACCAGCATTTGTGCAATGGCTATTTCACACAGCATAGCAGATTACCACATGGACTGCTTTCATCATACATAGATCTTCTATCACGAATGGTCATTCTTGAGCAGCAACTCAAGCAGTAGATATGTTAATCAACTCCAGAGGATTGAGGCTAACACGTTTTAATGGAAGCCTTGTTTATAACAGTGAAAGGCACAAGGGGATCAAGACTTGAATGAAGATTCAGGAAGGTATAGCTATGAAGTGGTGTAATTTTTTAAAATGCACTTTCTTAATTTATTCCCTTAAAGGTCTTCAGACCAGTGAAAGTTTTAAACCGGAGCCCAAGATGGATCCAAATATTGCAATGGGACCTGAGGTGGAATCAGAGCCTAAAACAGAGGAAATGGCTGAGACAGAGTTTCAAGAGGTTGACAGCGCAGCTCTGGAAACTGTGGATGACTGTTTCCCTGATCCTATTGATGCTTGATCAGATGTGCTCTCCTTTATGCCTTTCTACAGATTAGGGCATTGGTGTTTCTTCATTCCAAGCTATCTCAGAATAATAGTGCCCTGTATAATTGCCTACCTTCAATTAGCCAAGCCTGCAAACCCACATAAAAATAGTCTACACAAAACAATGTGCTCCTACTTTGAAAAGATTTAGAATTGAATATGAGAAAACTAGGTCTCGTTGCAGATTTTTGTGTTCATATGATCCAAATGGTTCCTCCTTTGCTTCCATGTCAGTGTTCGGTCATCTTGGATCCTTGAGATTCTTGGTTCTGCCAAGCATGAGCAGGAGGACACACAACTGATAAATACCATAGGGAAATTCCAAAGCATTGTATACTGGTCAGAGGCCCCTAGACAATTCCATAGACATTTTGAATAGCATCACTGAGATGTTTTGCTTTTGCAGAATCTTGTGGTTAAAAGCAGTATTGTCCATCATGCTGGGTGTTTACATGAACCAAAGTTGATCCTTAGGCTTTAGGATAAGGTATCTACAGATAGGTAAGGTATCTACAGTAGGTGTCCTTAACCTGGAACAGATGAGGGATGCAGATAAAGGATATTCTTGGACTGCCTCTGACCTTCTTGCATACTATGTGCAAAGTGGAGATGGTGGCACCACTTGGACAGTGAACCCTTTGCCAGGCTGAGGGCTCAGAGATACATCCAACCTCATTGCCTATTGGAGTCAGTACTGACAAGCATTCCTCTAGTCCCAAAGTCTCTCTATGTGGGGGGGGGGTGCTTTTTTAAAAACTAGTTTTAAATTATTATATTCCCCTCAAAGCCATCACATTTCACCCATTCTTACTTAGCAGAAGGAAGAGAACCTCTGCCCTCACTGCTGTATGCTCTTTTGAAGGAGAAGCCAAAATATTTTCCTGTACATATTCATGCTCACAGTATGTTACTGGCAGGTAGTTTAGGACAGCGAGAGTTGTTTTGTCTTTATTTTGTTGATGAGGTTTTCATCAAAAATTGACTGCTGGGCTAAGCAATTGAGTAATTCGTAACCATTTATCCTGTTTTTTTAATGTTCTAAGCAGTTCACACATACTGGCATTATAAAAGACAAGCAGGTGTTTCATTATTTTGCTTGTCTTCCTTGTGGGCATGCTGGCAGCTGATTCCCAATGAAAGGCTCGAGAAATTCAGACAGCTTTACCCCTGTTGTGAGAGGACTGCTGTGGTCCTTAGCTAGATATAATGGTTTAGCTGCCACCTGAAACCCTGCAAGCAAGTACATGGAGGAGAAGCCTATCAATGGCTATGAGAGAGAGAGGATGATTATATGCTATTCCCAGTAGTGGAGGCAGTATGCCTGGGAACATGATGGGAAAGCCCTGTCGGCACCCACTGGCCACTGTGTGAACAGAATGCTGGACCAGATAAGCCTTTGGTCTTACCCACTGGGGCGCTTTTAATGTTCATAAGTACCTTAAATAGAAACAATGAGATGATCGTGGTATCCTTTGTCAACTTTGCAGTCTGATTAAGCAAATGACTTTAATTTTATTTAGGTGGCTGGATTTCATGTGACCATGAATATCAGTATAAGGCTTGGAACTGTGACTTGAGCTCTCGCCACCAGAGAGGAAGGAGCATGTGATTTCCTCCTGCTTTGAATGCCATGAAAATATAAATGCAGACTGTGGTGGGATATATTATATGGTGAATTAGCTCTGAGCTTGTCCAGTGTACTTTTAAAAAAAGGCTGATGGTGGCAGTTGCAGCCCTGATATTACATTACATTAGAACTTGGAGATGAAAAGGAAACAATCTGAGAATGTCTAAACAATTGGCTGTTGCTAGGCTGGCATTTCGTTGGTCAGGAGTCAGAATTTATAGTAGGCGCTTAAGTCAAGGCAGCTGATGTTCATGTTCCCTCCTCTTTGTGAGAACATTGCAGTAAAGACTTGCCTTGTCTGCCAAAGATTTTTACTGCTTGCACCTTGGTGCAGGACCTTCTCACACATGTTCTTCACAGCTTTATTGCCATGCCTGTACCCATGATGCTTGTAGAAGGCCTGCCTCTTGAACTCTGTACTGATCTGAAGTACAGGAATGGCTAGAATCCTGTTTTGCTTTTATAACTGAAAGCTGCGTATTTACTGCACTAGAGAAGATGCATAGAAAGCCAAACCCTAAAATAGCTTTAAGTACTCCGCAACACAGCTAGAGGATGTGATGTCCCCCCCCCCCTCCTCCTTCTTGCTGTACTGCAGCAATTGAAGCCTGGAAAATTCATTCTGCTGTGACGTTTTTAACCTGTGTTCATGCTGCAGTAGTTTTTTATGATGCTGTATCAATCTAATAAAGTGATTCTTTTATACATCTAGGACTATTTGTATCCTCTGATTATGACTTACCCTGGAAGAGCTACCATCTGAGAAACTTACACAATAGAGAGAGAGAAGGAGCTACAAGTGTCCCCCCACCCCAATTATAGTCGGCTTGGTCCCACCTAGTCAATGTCTTACCTATTTTCTCCATTCCAGCTCTATTAATGGTTCTATTAAAGTTGATACGCAGTCAGCAGCTACCCAGTAAGTACTGATTAGATGCCAAATGCCTGCTTTAAATTTTGCATCCAATCCAAACGTGGGCAAATGTCAGATATGTGGGATCAACTTAAGTTGATGCTGTTATTACAGTTGGAGCATGGTGAAGAGAAATTAAAGTATTTTGAGCCCTTAAACTTTTCTGAGTACCAGAACTGAACAGACCTTATGGTCTTTTCACACAAAAAAACCATCCCATTTACCCTGAGATCTCTTCATTTCAGCAGCGTAATTTAGGAGGTCATTTTTGCTGCTGCTATTGTTATTGATCTACTGTAAAATGCTCCCCAGAGATCTACAGTAGATCCAGATCTAGCTTCTGCCCAGCCTGCTTCTGCTAATCAAAGCCACTTGCATTCCAGTTCAGGCCTGGCTTTGATGACTCAGTGGGATTTGGAGATCAGATTTTCAGTCTGGCTTTGATGGGAAGCTTTAACGTACTGGCTTCTTGAGCATATACATAACATAAAGGGTTTGGGAAAGCAAAGCAAAGGTGTACAGGTTGCCATAAGACATAAGGACTGTATTATTTAATGAACTGCATAGAAAAGGTAAACTATAATTTTGTATTTAATACAGATACTCACCCAGTAACAATCAAACACTGGACTATTATTTTAAGAACTGCATTTTTCAGAATTGCCACAGGGTGACAACAAATCACTGAGGCAAATCTATAGCAGCAGAAAACTTGAGCCAGGTTGTTTGCTCAGGTCTGATCCTATGCCCTGAAACCCTCTGAAGCTGAGTTGCTAGGTCCTTATGCTTTTTTTCTTATTCTAGCCATTTCTATACTGCTTCACATCCCAAAATGTCCAAATTATCTACACAAAAACGTATGCAAGCTAAATATCAATATTAAAACAGTATAAATCAATAAGGGTACAATCACATCACCTCTACCTTTGGAGTCTTAGTGCATCCAGGCCCTCAAAATGGTGTGGCAGCAATCTCCACTTCTGCCATGCATCACCTTGTCCTGATTTTTATACAGTTGGATGTTTTCAGCCATCTAGATAAAGCATTGGAGTAGGGGTAGGAAGGGGCCTTGGCCAGAGCCCCTTTACTCCCCAGCCCCTGGCACACTGCTTTTTCTTCCCATGGATGCACATTTATGACCTTAGAGGTGGCAGCTGGTGTACTGGCTATGAAGGGATGCAGGGCTGGAGCTCAGAATTCTAAGTCCAAGTTCCAAGATAGCTCAAAGCTAGGATTCTGAAAAATTTTATGCTGCCAAGGCAAATGTCCACTCTGAACTAGCTGCAAATCTTTTGGTGAAGCCCTCTTTTATGAGTATAAAGGAAATCCTAGCATCTTCTGGATATGTGATTTTCATTGCTGACGCCCTAGAGTGGGCTGCAAGTCCACAGGCAGAGGCTGAATGAGAAGACTACTCATGACTATTACTATAGGAAGCTGCTGTCCCAATGTCACTAGGGAGTCAAGTCTGAACTGACTCTTACGAGTACCTACATTATCCATCAAGGAATCTGCTATTCTGTTATAGAGTAACAGATTTAAGATGACACAAACTTTTGCAGGCCACAATAAATATGTTGATCTTTAATGTTTGGCAAGACCAGTGCTTGCTTTTCCTGTAACAAACCCACATGGCTGGAATTTGATGTTACATCAGTGACAGAAGACAGATTGCACACTTGCAGTGAGGGATCTGGTAGGTGTCTCTTAAAATCCACAAAAAGCTGCTTAACTTGGTTTGACACATTTTATGTCAGCATAGAACCAGAATAGTCAACTTGCAGTCTTCTACAACTTGTGGCCTACACATCTCATCATCCTCTATGCTGACCACTCCCTTCTTATTAGAGTTTTTCTGTGTGAGACATTGATTGAGTGGTCATCATTCCTTTCTCATGATCACCTATAGGTTCTTTAGAAAACATTGCCATGCTCCAGTTTTGCTTCTGTTTTTAAACAGCACTTTCTTCCAAGAAGTTGATGATTATTTTTACAGAAGGAAAACTGCAGTGATAATGAAAGTGCATAACCATGAAGTCCAAGCTCCTTAAAAGTGGCTTGCAATTTTGCCACAAAGGGTTGCAAAGCCTTTGAGGGAGTGACCAATTTCATTCCAGCATGAGGTCATAGAGGACCCTTCATCACCCAGACCAGGTATCCTGGATGGCATAGCATGTAATGGGCTCCTTCTTCACAACCCTGACTGCCACAAAGCAGGCTCAGCAATGAGCTTTAACCTGTGTTAGGCCAGATTCAGCACTAGTTTTTCTCCATGCACATTCCAGATGTTTCCCTGCTTCCTTAATTGCCTCCATCTCTAACGTATATCTAGAAGCTAGTTTGGCTTCAGTGTAATGGCAATGAGGAACAATGCCAGATGGAATCAAAAATGGGCTTTGCCTGCCTTCAGATTCCCCTGCTGCTAAGCTCTGTGGCTGAAGTCCAGCACTGTTTGGTGAAATCTACATTAGACCAGCCAGAAGTGTCCTCACTTCAGAAATGTAACTGTTGCCAAACATGGAGACAAGGCTTTCTGGCCGGCCAAGGTTCTCTAGCTGCCAGCTGCAAGTGCTGTCTCCCACAGCTCTTGATGCTCTGGTAGCTCTGCCTTGCCTCTTTCTGCAGTAGACTCGCAGGTACCAATCTGCAGGGAAGGGACTCTTCATCAGCTCACACCTAAGACTGTAGTCATAGGCATACTTACCTGGGAATCACTGAACTTGCTGCAAATTACCTCTCAGCAGACATGCACTGGAATATCTGACAAATGATTCCCAGACATGTATTCATTATTCAGAAAATATTTTTAACACTGTGGCCATATAGATGGTTCAGAAACAATGAAAAACCTTTTAAATCATTTTTTTTAACATCAGGGATACCTGAAATTACAGTCTGTTTGCAAACTCAGAGTCTGAATATAAATTATGCAGTCACAATGTTATTGGAAGAGTGCTTTTTAAATATTGCCCCATCTAGCCACCCTAAACGGCTCATTCACATGAACAGGGAAGCAAAAATTCTGGCTGAGGATGACACGAAATGTCTGGCGATAATGGGAGTTGTTGTTCAGCACATCTAGAGTTGCCAGGCTGGCCTCTGCAATGCCTTGAATCATTAAGGGCCTGCCAGCAATATTAGACTTCAGAAACCCCTGCTAGACTTTTATTAGATTTTAGAAACAATCTCTTCAATTGCTTTATAAATACTAAAATGCAAAGAGTTTAAAGCTTTGAGACATGCAGAAAAAACTTCCCAAACTCCCATTATGACCCAGACAGCTATGCTGGGAATTGTAGGCATTTTTTCTGCTTGAACTTGTGCAGGGTTACTCCCTGTGACACTGAATATCCTTGCTTATAAAACTATGCGGAAAGTGTGCAACAGACTTTGTTTCCGTTGTGCAGCAAATGGTTTTGTTTTTATCATACAGCAGCAGTTTCCTGTTTCTATAACTAAAAGATCACTGCGATAAATTACTCATCTTGGGAACCATTTTATGGTTATCATCTGAGTAGTACTGAAAATGTGGGCTCCATTATTGCATACAGTTTTTCAGTATCTTTCAATCCAGTGAAAATAATTATTTCCTGGTGGGGTAAATGTGTTTCAACCCTATCCACTGGGCCAGTTTTCACAGCTGTTGCAGCTGAAAAGAGCCATGGCACCTGCTCACACATGCCACTGTTATTTGCTTAATGACATGCCACAGCTTGGCTTCTTGTGTTGGGCGAACCCGGGGGGCATGGCTTATTGGCATAAGCAGCAACTCAACTGCTGAGCATGTCACCCAGGTTCACATGGCACACGAAGCTGCAGCTGGACAGGTCATTAGGCTGGGGCTTGAAACAAGGTTTATTTTAGGTACTGTAATGGTGCAGACCCAATCAATGTCCAGAATAAAAAGATTATCTCCAGAAACAGTGTACCCTTGCTGAACTTATTTTACAATTACCAGCATAAGAATAGTTTGGGTGAACAAGGAATATGAAAACAGATTGCTATGTTTTCAGACAAAGGTCTCCTAATGCTACCAGTAAGATGTATTGTGATTCCTTCTCTTTCTCCTGAACGATTTTCTCCAGCAACTGGAAGGCAGGTAAGATTCCTTCCCAGCTTCAATAACTGGTAACTAACTTCTTCTATCCACAAGCAAGAACTACTACACCTACCAGGTGTAGGTCGAGGAGTCAGTGATAGCAATGGTTCTCTGCCATGTTGTGAAGCCTTGCTTTATGGGACTCAGGACTAGAACAAGGCAGGAGAGTTTGGAAGCACCCTGAGTCTAAAAACAGTAGCATGAATGATGCCCACACTTACAGTCAAATGAACGCTATAGCTCCCAATTTTCCCCAAAGTTTCTATCACTTTCCTTCCTCTCCTGAGCTCTAAACAACATAATTCACCACTCTCCTACCCTGTACTTTCTCTTATCTGCCTGCTAATCAGCCATATCTCAAGAAAACCTGGGAAAGCCTGGTCAAACTGAATGCAGCAATAGATTTTCCTGCCATTTAAAAAAAATCTTTCCTTAGCCTCACTTTAAAAATGGCAGTTTACTTTTAATAGTTGTTAAAGATAGCAATTCCCAGAAATGGAGTTGCTTACACTTTTTTATGGTTCCAAGGTGATATACTCTTGGGAACAAATGCAGAAGTGAGGGGAACCTGGGGAGTTTGGCCCAAAACACCCCATGGAAATCTTGCTGTGAAGAAGGCACTGCCTTCCCACTTTTTGCAAACCAAGTTCATTTTTCTCTGTTCACATTTAACAGCTCACCATTCGACAGCTCTC